TTCAAAGGCTAAGCTGAGGTGTGAGTATATATAAACCAAGGGTCTGTGGCCTGAGGGTTCCCAGTGTACCGAGATTTCTGTTTTATATTCAAATAGCATGTCTTGGCGGGGCGCCGTGCCTCATGCCTGTAATCCCAACATTTTGGGAGGCCGAGGTGGATGGATCACCTGAAGTCGGGTGTTCGAGACCAGCCTGACCAACATGGAGAAAGCCCGTCTCTACTAAAAATACAAAATTAGCTGGGCATGGTGGTGCTGCCTATAATCCCAGCTACTTAGGAGGCTAAGGAAGGAGAATGGCTTGAACCTGGGAGGCAGAGGCTGTGGTGATCCGAGATCACACCATTGTACTCCAGTCTGAGCAACAAAGAGAAACTCTGTCTCAAATAAATAAATAAATAAATAAATTAAAAAAATAGCATGTCTTGGACCCCATCCACTTACTGTGGAACCCTGATTATTTTGAAGATTCTCTGGGCACCTACATTTCTCTCTGTCACCTCTTCCTCCATTTTACCAGCACCACAGACTCCTGGGTTGTGGCCCCATGGCTCAATGGCTCTCTGTCGGCACTAGTATACCACTTCACCGTAAGCTAGCCAAGCACTCTTTACTTTACTCTCCCCAGAGAGTCACTAACTCAAGGCTAGTGTGTGTAGCCAATATTTACTGAATGGTTGAGGACATGGAACGAGATTACAGGGCAGCCCAGGGGAGACAATGGCATAACCTTGAAATATTAGACATTACTGTGCTAATGAAGCCATGTATTAAAAAAAAATTTTCCTCCCAGGTCTTTTCCATTCTCCACCCATCACTATCCTGCTATGACTCCAGGTACCTCGCTGCCCTTTATATGCTCTTCCTGGGCTCCGGAGTCCTTTCAGCTTTGTGTCTCTTAGGCCCACACAAACAGAAGGCTTTACTTTATTTTATCATGCTAAGCAGTTCAGTTCCTGCCTGCCTTTGCTCATCCAGGGTTGTCTGGGGTTCTAGGCTTTGTCACCCAAAGATCCCTGAAGACATTTTCTTAAATCAGCTGTCGAGAGATGCCACTCCTGTCTAAGAAGTATCAGTTTTGATTTCACTTTTCCAAATCAGGAAGAAGCCTACTTCCCAATTAAGCCCAAAAGCCTTTTCCATTGCATCTGAAGGAAGTGACTCATTCCATGATGGGCTCCAAGAGCACAGGTACTAGGAAGTACACCTTTGTATGCATCCCTATTTGTTTGTCTCTCCATCTTTCCAACATGCATGCATCTTTCTCCTTAGCACAAAGTCCGGCTCTGGGACTAAAACTCATAAATAATATGTTTTCATTTATTAGCTAAGGAGGGAAGAGAATGTTCTCATTAGAGAAGTCAAAGCCCAGAAAAATACGGAATTCTCGCAGCCCTGGCGACTGTGAGAATTTTCTTTTGGAGGGTGGTGTTGTGTTCTTTTTCCATACCTTCTCATTTTTGGTTCTCCACACTGCAAGCCATTTAGTTAGATCAACCAAAGTCAATGAGAGAGGGAGGCCCAAGTACCCTGAGGGTGGAGTTGGGTAACCATCCAGCCCTGAAAGTAAACCCAGGCCCTCCAGCTCAAGGTCTAAAGGAAATCAGGCAATGAGACCAACCGTAAGAAGTGGAATTTGTTCCTCATTTTTATTTGTTTTTGTAGGACTCTGCAGCTGAGTTTATCTGCTGCAGTTTGGCACTTCTTGCCCTGAGCTTTTTGAGACAAAGATTGCGAAGGAAGGAGATGAGGACAAGGGAATGAGGAGGTCCAGGAGGTGGAGCCAAAGGGATAAGAAAAAGAGGCCCCAGGCCCCTGCATGTTTTATCAGCCAAACAGGAATGCTGCTGTAGACATACATCTGCAAAGGTGGTGCCAGCTGGGTTGGGTCTAAGTGGGGAGCACTGGGGACCACTGAATTAGTCAGAGGTTCCCCAAGGCTGCTCCTCCTCGGTCGCCATATGGCAGAGATTCAAAGGGTGGAGTCCTCTCCCCTCTGGAAAATAGCTGATAAAATTCTTTTCCCTTTTATTTTTCCCCTCTTACATGTAGCCCTAGACAGGATATGGGTGTGGGGGTCAGCAGGCACGAAGGACCCAAAGGAAGAAGAGGAATGCAATGGGGAGGGCCTGGGGGTGTTGTCAGAGTGAGGAGAGGGACAGGCCTTGGAAAGCTTGGAGGAAATAGATACCCTGAGCCTGACAAAGGGGTTCCCTAATTACCTGAAAGGCTTCCTGTTCCAGCCAGTACTCTGTCAGTGCTGCCTGGTGGCCCCTGAGTCCCCCACCCCGATTCTGCTCTGTGATCTACCCCACTTCCAACAAAGACAGCCCACTGCTGGTTAGTTGCAGTGCCTGTGCCCATGCCACCTTCTCAAAGGGACAGAAAAAAGAACTTTCCAGAACAAGCTATTTGTTGGGGTAAATGATGAGAAAACAAACCACAGAAATCCCCTCCACCCTAAATTTTACAATAATAATAGCATTTCTGCAACGGCCCTATGGTAGCATTTCAAGGCACACTCAGTTATCTCATTTATCCCACAATGTATCCCAGGACAGAAAATGACTCCTAGTATTAACAAAACAAAACAAATCCAAGCAAAAACCCTAGAAAGCTCTTGGGAAGGGCATAAAACTACAATTGGCTCAAGTAGTCTGGCAAGGCTGGGAATGGGGCCTTGTGCCCCATCCCTCCCCACCCAAAGCTGGGATATAGAATTCTCAGCATAACAGTCCAAAGCTTTGCAGAGGTTGTGTTGCTCCCCAAACCCCAAGCTTGGCAGACCAAGGTGAGACTGACACCCACCAGCTTAGGAAATAAGGAAAGGGTGGACCTCATTCGGCTGAGGACCAGGTCATCATGAGCTGTGTAGCCAAAGGAGAATGGAGCATCTGATTGGAATCTGCACCACTGGCCAACTCACCCCTATTATTTTGCTTTTGTTTTTGTTTTGAGATGGAGTCTCGCTCTGTCTCCCAGGCTGGAGTGTAGTGCCAGGATCTTGGCTCCCTGCAACCTCCACCTCCTGGGTTCAAGGGATTCTCCTGCCTCAGCCTCCTGAGTAGCTGGGACTATAGGTGTGCGCCACCATGCCCAGCTAATTTTTGTATTTTTAGTAGAGATGGGGTTTCACCATGTTGGCCAGGATGGTCTCAATCTCTTGACCTCATGATCCACCCGCCTCGGCATCCCCAAGTGTGGGGATTACAGGCATGAGCCACTGCGCCCGGCCAACTCACCCCTGTTATGAGGGCCTAGTCTAGCACCCACTCTAGGGTTTTGAAACCTCAGTGATAGCTTTTCCTTGCTCCGAAGCACATGCCCAGGACTGCCAAACAGGGCAACTCAAAACTTCACTCCGAGCTTCCTCCAGCCCAGGGGCAGCTCTCCCCAGCTGGGCGGACCCAAAGGGGGACAACAGAAGAGACTGGGAGCAAAGAGGTCTAGTCCAGGTCACTCTGCAGGGCCATAGTGGGTGGCCTTTAGGATGTAGTGAGAGTACAGAATTGGGAGCCCTGGAGTGCTGTAAGCAAAAGGGAGAGCAATGTACAAAGCTTCGAAAGTTTCAAACCTTCCAAGTGCAAAGAGATGAGGTGGAGAATGTCATTCCCCAAGGAAATTAATCGAGTATAAATACGTATACTCGAAGCCTTTTTTTTTTTCCAAAGTGAGAGCAAGACCTTAAGAGTAAGGGTATGTGTAGGTGAGTGGGGAGAGTGTTCTAACCCATCTACTAGCTTTAGAACTTGGAGCGGGGGTAGAGGAAGAAAACTCCAAAAGCTAACAAGTTTTGAGTTTGTGCAAGGGTGACGGTTTTTGGTAAGGCGAGCGAGGCTGGGTGCAGAGCAAATTCTGTCTACTTCTACCTCCGCGGTGGGGTTGCTGAAGTGGGAATTGAAACTCAGCTTCCTAATCTTAAATGCAAGGATTTTGTTTGGTCGGTTGGTTTTGTTTTTCCTTTTCACGGACTGTTCATTCCGAACTCCCCTGGCCTGGAACCTGGAGCCTCATCCCTGATTCGCTTCCCTCGAATTCCTCAATGTCCACTTCTGGCTCTCCCAGTCCCGGTGCAAGTTGGGCACCCCGGCCCCTTCCCATCTATCAGCTCCGGATCTATACTTTCCGAATCAACCAAGAGCCACAAAACTTTTCCTGCTTCTCTCCTCCCCAGTCTCCCGGTTCTGGCTGCAACTTCGCACTCCGCACCTCTGGCAACCAGAAGAGACACTGGCATCTCCAAAGCACTTTATCTCAGTCCAAGAGCCAGTCGTGCTGACCGATTCGCACCTCGGCTAACGCACACCCGCGGGGTGGTGGCCTTCCCTTCCCCTCCCACCCCCGTCGGCTCCCAGTTGAGGCGCTGGCCCCAGGGGAAGCCGCAGTGGGCGGCAGTGCAGGGATTGGGCAGGGGTCCCTTCTCTCGGTGAGACTCTGCTCTGTCGTTCAGCCTCCCAGAGAGACTCGACCCTCCCCGCGGCGAAGCCAAGCGGCCGCGGCGCGCGGGCGGTACTCACGCAGCAAACTCAGCAAGCAAAGCGCGGTCCAGCCCCGCGGCATCCCGGGCCCCGCACGCGCTCCCCTGCGGACCAGCATCCTTCCCGCGCCGCTCCTAGAGAGACGCACGGAGTGGAAGACACTCCTCGGCTTGGCCAGGACGCGCTCTTCCCGCCCCCTCCGCCCGGGAGAGGGGTGGGGGATTCTTGCTTTTTCCCTCTCTTCTCCCCTCCCTCTTTAGTCTTGGCAAGGCAGCGCCTCTCCTTGGCTGCTACTAACTTGAGCTCCCCTGGTTGGTCCCAAAGGCGGAGGGCGTTAGGAGGGAGGCTGGGTTGCCGCCGTCGAGGCCAAAAAAGGTGGAGGTTTGTTCGGGCTCCAGATGCCTCGTTCAGCTTTCTGGAGAGGCCCCATCCCACTTCTTCAAGCTCCGCTTCCACTTAACTTTTAACCCCTTTGTGGCAGTCTTGCTGGTGGCCAGGGCAGGGGCAAGTTTCCTCCGATTTTTTCCCCCCTTTTCTTTCCTTTTGATTTTCCTTTATTTTTAAGTTGTAAGCTAGTAACAATCTTGCAAAAGGAATCTACTGTAAGGACCTCAGTTTAGAAGTGTGAGCATTTCGTTAATCAGGTAAAACTTAACCACAATGTGACACATTTAGTGATAGCCTCACAAGATCCTGTGCTGTGTTGTGAGTGAAGCATCAGGAGTGAGCAGGTATACGTGACTGTAAGTATTCATTTTAGCTGTCCAAACCATTCTTGGAGGTTCTTTCTTGCTTGCTTGCTTGCTTTCTTGCTTGCTTTCTTTCTTTCTTTTTCCTGCAAACCTTTTTGTGTTAACTTTTTGTTAACTTGTGTTAACTTTTCCTGTGACCTTCCATAGTTCCCTACCACCATCATCCTAAAGAAAAAGGACTTCCCTGGTTGCCTTCTCCCCGGTTATCCCCTCTCCAGCTCCGGGTCTAAGCCACTAGGGATTTCACCTTGCTGTCCCATCAGAAAAAGGACTTTCTGTGACTCCATCCTCCACCACTTGATAGATCCTTGAGCTTCCTGTTCCTCACCAGTTCTTCTGGGTGTTGGTGAACTGAATAGAAGAAACTGAGCGGGGTAGGCAGCCTAGTCTTGAATTGGGGATGTAGAGATCGGAGAAGAGAAAAGCCAGCCTGGGCAGATGATGGCACCAGGTGGGGGATCAGATAAGGCATAACCTGGGAGAGGCTGCTCTGATATCCAGAGTGGAATCGTGAAATTATACTCAGTTCAGCCTCTTCCATGAAGTCGGTGCCACATAGCCTAAAGGGAAAAAAGAGAAGCCAGACCAGCACTCTGTGGTCATTTCTGATTTCTCTGCAGACACTCTAGCATTATAAAAGTAGGTTTACCTTTATGGTCCATCTCAAACCTACTATGCATTGGGGTTGCACTGGAGAAGGATCTAGGTCTAAAAACAAAACCAAAATCCCCTTATTCTGGTCTTGTTGCCTAGTATTCCTTTAAACAGGGAACAAAGTCTTTCATCACACAATCAGAGCAAAGGCCTGATATGCTAATTTGATTGAATATAACAGAATGGTATGAATCTGTTTCAAAGTGCAAATGGTGATTCAGAACTGATCACATAGTGATGTCAAGGGCCCGGGGACAGAAAGAGCGGCATACACGCATTTTAAAATCAGGCATCGGTCCTTGGGACTCCCAATTAACAGGGAAAAGGAGTTAGCTGCAACACTGCCAGGACCCCCACTCCCCTCAACTTCCTCAGCTCCAGGGGCCGCTGGGTCTGCTTCAGGCACCCAGTGTGCGGTTGTGAACAAATGTGGAGTTGTAATCCCTGCTAGATATGAAAGCTAATTTGGTCCACTTTAACTTCCATTTCCAGATTTTTTTTTCTGGTTACTTTAAATACTATTTGTCTCCCATAGCTGGACCACGGGAAACAGGGGAAGTAACTTGTCTTTCTTTAGTATCTGAACTTCTTAACTAGCTTTGGGAGCAAAGAGAGAGAGAATGATTCTATGGAGCAGAGTTTTCTCAAAGTATGGTCTACACAGAATCAATGGTGAGGGTCAGAATCTGTACTTTGAATAAGTATTCTCCATGACTTATGCACACTGAGGTTCAAGAAGCCCTGGTATAGAAAGAACCCATGCTGGGTACAAGGAGCAAGGGCGAAGTGGATGTCAGGCTTCAGGGAGGAAAAATAGAAGTAGAGGATATGGGAGGCTGGTAAATCCCTTCCTCTGAGAGACCAGGGCTGTTTCTTCTCTGGCTTGCAAGGCTATGGATAGCCCCAGAACCACAAAACTAGACAATGATTGGCCACTCTTCATATTTTCCAGGGTCACTGAGACTCATCACCCCAAACACACACACTCTTGCCCCAGCCACCCCCAAACACAGGTTCTGGCCACTGGACACAAGGGCACCAAGGGACCCCAGCCTTACATTTCCTCACAGGCCAGATAGAGTTGAACTGTGTAGTCCCTTCAAAGTTCTAGCCTTTCTGGGCTGCTCCTCAATTCTCTGCTCTCCTGCTTCATAAGCTGTTGCTAAAAAATGTTAGCTACACTGCACAAAGTGGAGGATACAACAGAAATACACTGAACGAGAGACTGTCTCAGGCCCTTTATAGACCCTTGGAGGTCATGACCACTTTTACTATTAAACATCCCCTACCTCACCCCTCCCCAAAATACACATGTATCATGTCAATCAACCTAAAAGAGGCCCTCATCCTATGTCAAATATAATGTCTTTGATGTTAAAAAAGTAAGGAAAATGGCTGTTATAATTCTGAATTTTAAAATATATTCATTTTGTTCTTATAATTCAAACTTCATTACATTTACATGAAACTATTAAAGAGTTGAATTGCAGTTTACAAGTTGACTGAGTTGACGTTTTGTAGGCATTTAATGAAAAATTTGTGAACTTTGATTTTCCAATTTTATATTTTGGAACCAAAACTTTTTTCCCACATTGCAAACTTTTTTTTTTTTTCCCCCCAGTTTGGCAGGGAGAGATCCTTGGCTGTAGAAGTGTTCAGCTGTTGGACTGATGCAGTGACAACCTGCGAGTCCCTTTTTTCCTCTTTCCACCTTCTAGTCTCCCTCCAGCGCCTCCTCTTAGCAGAACCTAACCAGAAATCAGCCGACAAAGGAGTCTGGGAACCAGTGTCCTGTGGTAAGTCACCATGATGCAATGTTTGCCTCCATGATAGGCAGCCTATTCCAGAGGCCACAGATCAGGAAGGCTCAGACCAAATTACGATGATCAAATCTCAAGGGTTATGGAATATATTTGAAGCATAGAGCCAGAACCAAGGGGACAGATTTACGGGAGGTTGATACACTTGGAAATGCAAGCAGGGCAAAAGTCCTGCACAGTCTCACAGCCTCAATCATGTGTTTCGCTCTGCAGTGGTATAGTTATGAGGACCAGAACTGAGATTGAGTAAGGGGATCAGCTTGAGGAAGATGCTTGGAACCAAGGTATATTCATTCTATTGAGAGATGTTTAAGGGCAGGTAGGCTTGGCCACAGGTCTTTGTCAGTGTTCTGGGAATCCATCCTTTTTGCCAGCATTTCTTGGGTAGAGCTTATGGGGGGCCGGAAGGTGCCACCAGTAGATAGTCAATTTAGGGATGATACGGACACAAACCCCAAGGTGGCATAATCTATACCTCATGGCCTATGATTTGTTTTTTTCTATCCTTTTCTGCCTGTAAGTAGCACTCTTGTTTGCTCCATCCTTTTGTAGTCTATTCCATTTATTCTGTTTTACATGTCTTGCAGGTTGCTAACTTACTATAGATTGAGAATCCCAAGTCTGAAATTTGAAATGCTCCAAATTCTGAAACTTTTTGAGCACTGACATGACACTCAAAGGAAATGCTCGTTGAGGCATTTTGGATTCCAGATTTCTGGAATGGGGTGCTCAACATATAAATGTAATGCAAGTGTTCCAAAATCCAAAAAGCATCCCAGATAAGGGATACTCATCCTGTATTTTTAGCACATCTTTTGAATTCTGCCTATGTCTCACAAATGACTTGCTTACTTTGTATCTGTAGTTAATACATCTGATGAGTTTCACCTACTTGCTTTTCTTGTCCTCTGTATGAAACTGAATATTCTCACATAATAGAGTAAACACACATTATAGCCAGTATCATAGAGAAAAGTACAGAGGAGTGAGGTTGGGGCTGAGGGAGACAAAATAAATAACTAGCAGAAATCCAGTTTTATATAGTTTTCATACAGATAACCATTTTTCTAGTTGCATTTACTGAGTAGTCTCTTCCTTCCCTGCTGATCTGACATGCTATTTCTGTCGTGTGTCCACATTTCATACATATGTGGGTCTGGCTCTAGGCTCTCTAGCATTGGTCAGTATGGACACCCCAGTGTCTTCGCCATTGCCTTATTTACTGTAGCATTGAATAAGTTCAGATATCTGTAGGGCAAGTTTTCCTCTCCCAAATTGTCTTCAGAAATGCCCTGACTATTCTTGGCTCTTTGTTCTTCCAAATAATAATAACATATAATTTTATAAATGCTTATCAGATTTCTTCCAAAACAACGATACGGATTTTGATCAAAATTGCTCCATAGATTAACCTGTGGAGAACGGAATCTTTCCTTCAGAGAACTTGATATATATCTCCATTGTTTGAGTCTTCATTAAAGTTTGTAATTTTCCCTGTAATGGTTTTAATTCATTTATTGTTAAATGATAAATTCATTTAATTTATTGTTAGATTTATTCCTAGGTAATTTATGTCCTCTAAGACTATGGCAAATACTATCTTCTTTTTAATTATTTTTGTTTCTGGTGTATGAAATTATAATTTATTGTTTATATTAATCTTTTATTGAGCTACCTTATTAAATTCTCTTATTATATTGAAGTATTTATAGATTCTTTTGGGTTTTATATGTAAATGATCATATCATAAGCAAATAGTGATGATTTTATGTTTCCTTCCCAATCCTTCTGCGATTGATTTGTTTTACTTAAGTTAATATACTGGCAAGAACATCTAAGGATAAAAAGGAGTGGTGATCATGCACATTCTCGCCTCATTCCAGATTTTGAAGCACAAACTTCTAATATTTCCACATTTGCTTAATTTTTTAAATGTACTTTTTATTTATTTACCTATCACTTTTAAATTATTATTTTATCTTAGAGACAGGGTCTCGCTATATTGTCTGGGTTGGTCTCGAACTCCTGGCCTCATGTGATCCTCCCACCTTGGCTTCCTAAAGTGCTGGTATTACAGGAATGAGTTGCTGCAATCGGCCTACATGTGCTTTTTGTCATGTTAACTTTATTCTCTTCTATTCCTATTTTACTAAAATATTTTTTCTTTAGTAATGAACTAATGATTTTTTTCAAATGCCTTATCTATACCTATTAAAATTACATATGGTTTTTCTCTTTTAATATAGTAGTATGGTGAATTACATTTATAGATTTTCTAACATTAAATCAACTTTGCATACTTGAGTTATACCCAACTTTGTCAGTTTATTATCTTTTTTATACACTGTAGAATTTAATTTGCTAATACAATCTTCTATTTATGATTTTTGCTTCTATAGTCATAAATGAAACAGCCCTATAATTTTTCCTTTTCTTTTCATCATTGTCTGGTTTTGGTATTGGGGTTACGGAGTCCATATAAAATGAGTTGGAGAGTATTTCCCTGTTTTTCTAGTCTCAGGAAAAGTTTTTTATAAGACTAGGGTAATCACTTCCTTTTAAAATTTGTGGGAACTTGCCTGTAAATCATTTGGGCCTAGTATTTAATGTGGGATTATTTAACAATACTGCTTGTATTTTTGTAATCGTTGAATTCTCAGATTTAAAAAAATTTCTTCTTGAGTAAGTTTTGTTATTTTCCTAGGAAACTGGGTATTTATCAAACCTTTCAAATTGTTGTTGATAAAATTCCTATTTGCTTGTTAATCTGTACTTTACCTAGAGTGTGTTCCCTTTTTAATTTGCACTGTTACTTGTTTGTGAATAATTTGTCTTAACTTGTTACAGATATTTACATTACAAAAGTTTTTAAATTACTTACATGTATATATACATATGTTAAATATACTTCTATGTTACTTCCAATGGGTTGGAGGTGATTCTTACGTTGTGAGAACGCCCTTCTCTTGCCCTTGAGCAGGTGGGGCTGTTTCTTAGAAGGGAGTGAGCTTGGGCTGATCAACCAGTGCAAGGCACCCAAGATAATACCTTGGTGTGTTTCATAGGCCCCTTGGGATGTCAGCAAAAGCAGAAATGGAACGATGTTCAGAACAGAGCTGTAAAATGCAATGCCTTGTATCCCCCTCCCCTCCAAGCATCATTCTAGGGCTGCCGTCCCAGTTTTGCCCCCTAAGGGACAAGCTTGTGAGTGAGTGAGAAAGATGTGTTGTGTCAACTAGACTACTACAGAATTCACAGCTTTTCTGTCATTGCTACAGCTATTGAGACCTAGTGACCTGAAGCTGAGAGCAGTGGCTCACACTTATAATCTCAGCACGCTGGGAGGCCAAGATGGCTGGATTACCCGAGGTCAGGAATTCAAAACCAGCCTGGCCAACATGGCAAAATCTCGTCTCTGGTAAAAATTACAAAACTTAGCTGGGTGTGGTGGTACGCGCCTGTAGTTCCAGCTACTTGGGAGGCTGAGGCAGGAGAATCACTTGAACCCAGGAGGCGGAGGTTGCAGTGAGCCGAGGTCACTCCTCTCCACTCCAGCCTGGGTGACAAAGTGAGACTCTGTCTCAAAAAAAAAAAAAAAAAAAAAAAAAAAAGACCTGGAGATCTGACATATAAGTGGGGAGAAAAAGCATGCCACAGTATGATGTTATTTTGTTGTGGCAGAGGTAAAAAGTCAGTGTCGGTGGCAATACATGTCTCATATACACACATACTGATTTGTCTCAGTGTTGGAATTGTGGGTAATTTTCACTTTCGTTCTCACTCCAGTATGCAACACTTTTGTTTTTCACAATAAACATGCTACTTTTAGAAACAAAAATACATAAAGCTATTGTACTGTGAAAAGGAAAAGATGTGGCAATTATGCATGACTGTAGTTCATTTCTTTGGATTTGTCAGGTCCTGGGTTGTCCACAGGAGCTGTCAGGTGACAGTGGAAACAGCTTGGCCAAAGGGCTAATGTGTCAGTGATAAGGGCGACTTGAGTAAAGATTCCTTACACCCTGGGAAGCAGCTCTCTGAGAACAGGTCAGAAATCCATTGTTTGTGGATTTGTGTCTATAATTCTGGTGGTGTCTCTGCTTATTTCCCTCTGTAGTGTCTAGGCTTTCAATTGATCTTCCTGATGGTGAAGCCTAAGTCAACATTGCTCATGAATATGACCGACAGCATTTATGCTTCCATTAAAGCCAGATACCAAAGGGGGTTCAGGTTACCCTGGGGGTGAGGGTGTCGTTGATTCAAGAAAACTCCATAATGAGGGATTTATTCAGGAAAACAAAAACAGAACTACTTTGCGAAATGTCCTTCCTCACTTGGAAATTCTCTTTCTGGTGCTACCTAAAGGTAGGTATAGGAAAATAATTTTTCTCACTAAAGTGTCCAGGAATCTGCCTCAAGGGGCTGGTTCTTCCTGAACCCAATATTGCATCTGTTCACGGCCCAACAGGCTGTGAAAGCTGGGGACTTAACAGCCTTTGTCTCTGTGAACCCAAATAGAGAGCTTTAATGGCATACATCTTATGGAAGCCAAAGCAAAGAGGATGGCTATTTTTAACTTGAGGCAGGAAAATGTGACTGGAAAGGAAACATCTGTCCCAAACTATTCTCTTGAGCTTTATATAGAGGTCCCATCTATCATGAAACCATCAAAAATAAAATAAGGTGTTTGGTCCTGGCCTGGCTCTGAAAGAAAAGGGCAAAGCTTCCTTACTTCACATTTCTCCTGCTTCTTGCCTTTTGAGTTGGGCCTGTGGCCTGGAAGAGACCACCTCAGAGGCAGTGCATGGGGGGATGGCTCAAGGACAACCTAATTCCTGTGAATTTTGTGGACCCCTCCTAGTTTAACATCTTCAACCAAAATGGCCCCACCCTTTAAGGTTCAGATTTTGCAGAATCCCCAGCCAGGAGTCACCAGCGGTCTAGTACTAGGAGAGTAAGACCTTCTAAGGTCTTGG